TATATATATATATGTTTATTTCAAATTCTACTTAGATTTGGTTATTTTTTAAGAAAACCCCTTTATTAATCATTAGGTTAAATATCTTTATAATGATAGTAGATTTAGGAATACTAAGTTAATTAAAACCACACTAAGCTTGATTAACTTCATATTACAAAAAGCAACCATATGATTATACTTTTGTTCCTTTCAAACCATATGATTAAATACTTTGAAAACAACATTAAAACTTTATTGAATTAAAAAAAAAAACAAAAGGGGAAACCTCAATTAAAAGATAAAATGGAATATAAGAAATGAAAAAAAAATAGATAATGTGAGTCCAAAAATGTCATTTATTGAGTTCAAAATTTAGTTGGGAAGTAGACACGTGGCAAGCACTCCGACTAATTAAATAATTATCTATGATTCAATAAATCATAAATATTTTTATCTTTTTTAGTGGCGGGACTTAAATTCCACCCTATAGATACTCACACACACGTATCTATAGATTAGGGGTGGCCATTTCGGTTATTAACCGAATAACTGAACCGAACCGAATCGAATAAGACATAACCGTACCTGAATTGAATCCGACATCAAAACCGAACGGTTATGATTTTCTTAAACCCGAAAAAACCGAAACCGAACCGAACCGAACCAAATAAAAAATAACCGAAAAAACCGACGATATTCTTTAAAAAAAATGAGTTTTTTTTACCGAAACCGAACCGAACCCGAATATAACGAATGGTTATAATTTTTCTATAACCGAACCCGAATATAACCGAACCGAATCCGAACCGAAAACCGAAATGGCCGTCTCTAATATAGATCGTTTAGAATTTCCATTCTTAACTTTTTTAGATTAAACAAAATAGAGGAAAAAAAGACAGGAATATAAGTATATTGTGCGCACGAATGCACAATATATATGTATATATATATATGTATAGTTTATTGTAAAGTAATTTGGTGGCTATAAAGAATATGAACAGAGGTGGCGAACGCATGCCAAATTAATATGCTTTTCCTTGTAGCCATTTTTGGTGTCTTTTTTAGGGTTTTTGAGTGCGTATATACTATTTATGATCCTTATTTCTCTTAATCATTTATTTTTTTAATATATAATAATATAACAGAGAATAAATTCTTTTTCCATGTAAATGTAATAAAATTTTATACAAAGCTTACGTTGAATTTAATATATATATATATATATATATATATTCTTTTCTGTACATTTCTTTTTGTATTTAAAATACAAGGGCGCATGTTAAAAAGAATATATTTTTCTTATATAGAATTTATATATTGTTAGTCAAAAGATTAAAAATAATATTTTTAGAAATAATTTAGATAATAAATCAAATATGATATATGAAATAAACTTAAATTAAATATCATATTCGAGTTTTCATATAACAAAGGATGGAAATGTGCCATAAAACTAAAATACCAAATACCAATATTTCATTCTGTTGAACCACTCTATTAATTTGATTGTAATATACATTATATCCTTTGAATTATTTGTTTATATTTTCAATCAATTATTTAGTTTACATCCCTAATTTTTTTTTCAAACAATTAAGATATCGATAAATAATTGATTTTTTCCAAAAGGATAATCAGAAATTTCAAATGTTACGAAGAACTTGAAACGTAAATCTAAGTAACATAATTATTCATTTTTATTAATTATAAACTTAGTATATAAAAAATGATTTTGGATTCTTTTGATTAAAACGAATTATATAATATATAGTGGTTATTATAGATATAGTAAATATATTTTATAAAAACTAGTTTAATATTTTTGTTTTTAATCTATAAAAACTCTATTTTTTACAGATTAAAATACGCTTTTTTGTACAAATATATTTAAAAAAGATTCTTCCGGGCCTAAAATCATAAACTGTCATAATTAAATTAAAGTCATTATTTAGCAATGCAATTATGATAAGGTTCTCTAAAAAGAACCAAGTGGAACAAATATTGCAATGATTTTGATTAGGGGTGTCAAACGAGCCATCTCGGATCTTTTTGGGCTCGGCTTATTTGGCTCGGATCGTTTTGGGTTCAGCTCGTTAGGCTCGTTTTCTAACGAACCAGAAAAACCTCAACTCAGATCGCTTACCAATTTTCCGATCTGAATGAGCCGGCTCGTTGAGCCAAGGATATATAATATTTTTTATTTATATTTATTTTAAATATAATTATAAATTTAAATAAATACATAAAAATTTATTAAAACACCAATATCATTTAATATTTTCAATTATCACCATCATAATAATTAGTATATTTATAATATCATATAAATAATATGAAAAAAAAATAATATAAAATTATATTAGAGTTTTTTTTATGTAAATTTAATTTATTTTAAAAAAAAAATACCAACTCGTTGAGCAGCTCGCCGAACCAGACTCATTGAACACGTGTTCAATGAGCTCTGGCTCGTTAGGCTCGTTTTTTAACGACCTGAAAAAATTACGGTTCAGATCGCTCGTTTTCTGGCGAACCACGAGCCAGCTCACGAGCCGGGCTCGTTTTGACACCCCTAATTTTAACCAAACGAACAAAAAGGTTAACAAGAGATATATCCGATTCCACACAAATCAATTTTCAAAAACAGCATCCAATCACATAATATTTATAGTGCAAAAAATAATTTCAATTTTTTTTTAAATAATGTTATTAAAAACAAAAACAAGGCTATCGCGTTATATTATTTTAATATTATTATTATTATTATTTTCATTTTTTTCTTTTTGTATTTTCTTTTCTTTTTATCAAAAAAAAAAGAAAGAAAATAACATTATTATTATTATTATTATTATATATATATTATATATGAAATAGACAAAATAAAACTTAAAAGAAAACGTGTCTTATGCGTAAACGAGGGATTTTAATGGTTTGTAAATATAGTTAGAACCAGAAAATATTTACAAAATGAGTGATAATTTATATATAAATATCTTCTTCTAACTGTAATTAATGGAATGTTTGTTAGTCCATATAAGCCATCACCGGAAATTGCATATATGTAATATGCCCTAAAGCATACATACATACATACATACATACATACATACATACATAACATACATACATACATACATACATACATACATACATACATACATACATACATACATACATACAAACGTACGTACATACATACATACGTACATACACACATACATAACATACATACATAACATACATACATACATAACATACATACATAACATATATACATAACATATATACATACATAACATACATACATACATAACATACATACGTATCGTACGTACATAAAACAGTTTGTACAATTTCCTTCTACTTATATTATGGTTTTTTTGTATTTTCTTTCTTTTTCTCCGCTTCTAAACAATTTTTATTGCCTAGGTGAGTTATGATATTTACCATATAAACATCACCATCATGATCATCATCATCATGATGATCATCATCATAGCTAAATCATGTAATCAAATCATGCTTATGATGTCTAAAGCAAATGCTCAGCAATGACGTCATAGGACACCCCGTTAAGTTGCATTTAACTGTTTCAGAAGAGATTCATAATATGTAAGAAAATTATGGCATTGACATATTGTGGCTTTTTTCTCCTCATTTAAAACATTTCATAAACTAATTTATGTTTTATTATGCACTAAACCCATTTCTTTTCTTCATCCAAATGCTCGATTGGAATTTTAACAAATAATATCATTAGAAAATTTAAATCATTTATGACGTCATTATAACCATATCATAACTTATGTCATTTTATGGCGTGTGCTAAAACAAACAAAGATAAATATAATTCAATGGAAGAAGAATACTGAAAATTTTATGTGGTATAAACTGTTAAAATTAACGGTTAAAATGTAAAAATTGAATATCTGCATCATATAAAAATGGCTCTCTAATATTCAAAATCGCTATAAATGGCTCTCTAATATTTGTCTACAGAGCGAAATATATTATACACTACAAAAAAACTCGAATATCAATGGGTATATCCGTTGAAAACATATAAAATATACTGATAATTACATTTTTCAACGCATATTTCAACCGACATCATCTGACATCCGTTGCAATTTTTTCGTTGAAAATGGATTCCGTTACCAAATACCAATGTACATGTAACGGAAACATCCGTTGCAAATAGCAACAAAATAACAACAGAATATATATATTACGTATACATTTGTGGTATATTTTATACTCATTCATGCATATCACATATATACATACATGTATACATCTATATGTATATATACATTATATATATATGGTACGAATACACTTGTGGGTTACTCTATGCTCACTCATGCATATCACATATATGCATACATATGTATATATCTATATGTATATAGGTAGATATATATGTATATAAGTGTGTATATATATATATATATATATATTGCACCAAGTATTGATATCATTTAGGTGTGCTTTATAGATTATAGGGTATCCTGGTCGGGCCAAATATTTTTGTGGGTAGTCCACTTGGACTATATCTGTAGCCCTAATCATTAATTTCATAATGATAACATTGGCTCGTACCCTTTATTAGTTACCTTTTTTCTTTTTCATTTTTCATATTTATTTCATGTGTGTGTACTATATGGAATAATCGGCTTTTTGCACCGTCCATGCATTTATAATTCGTTGGTTGCATAATGTTATCATTCGAATTCTAACGACGGATTCTATAACATTAATTATTGTCTTCTCTTTCAAAGATTACAAACGAAGAAATTTGTAGCCCTCTTATCAAATTCTTTATGAATCTAAATAGATTTACATAACTATACAGAATAAAACCCAATTTTGGTAACTCAATCGGTAAAACGGGTACGCATTTCGGTACGAGTTCGAACGTAATTCCAATCACATGTTCTATTTCCGATTTCGAGATTAGTCTGTACTTTGACTATGGATATTCGATTACCCAAAAAAAATATTATAGAATAAATCTTAAGAATATCTAAACAGTTCATTTGAAAGTTAGACGGTCCAATTAAGAAATTGATTACCAAAATTCTTGTGTAAAACATAACCCTTACAAAAAAATCATTCAAATCAATACTATCCACTATTTATAGTTATGTTTTCTATGTTATATATCATATATGTATATATATGTATGAATGTGTGTTTACAGATCCTATAATAATAATAATAATAATAATAATAATAATAATAATAATAATAATAATATGCATTTAGTGTCAAATGAAGCATCTCCGTTTGATTTTTATTATGCGCTAATAATTTGTTGGACCATACCGAAATTGTTATAATTAGCTTAATGGGCTGAATAAGGAAGTGATAATGATAACGTAGGCCCAAAGTAATGGGCCTTATCGGCCCATTTATATGTCAGATCCTACCAGGGAGAGAGAAGAGGCAAATGCTCGGAGATCGTGTGTAGAAGGGGATCGTGGAAGAGCGACGGAGATATGGCGGCGACGGCGGGATTGGCGCCGGGACTATCTCGGAAGCTGAAGAAGGTTCTTGAATGTCGTACGGACAGTCCGGATCTGGTGTCTTCGCTCAACGCTTTGTCCTCGTTCTACGACGACAACACCGCGCAGTCCCGCCGGAATCTCAGATCGACGATCGAGAAGCGCGCACTGGAGATCAACAACGAGTTTCTCACTGCAGCGGAGACGGCTCAGATCGCGTTGGACCGCGTGGAGGAGGAGGTGAACGCACTCGCTGATTGCTGCGACAAGATCGCGGCGGCGCTCAGCAGCTCCGCCGCAACCACGGGAGAGATCATCAGCACAACTGAGAGGCTGAAGCAAGAACTTGAGGTTACTACCCAGAGGCAGGAGATTGTCAGTTGCTTTCTTCGTGATTACCAGCTTTCGAACGAAGAGGTGAGCTCTTGTTTCTTGTTTCTGTTGGCTGGTGATCAGATCTCGTCTCTGATTTGTTTCTCTGATTATCGTTTTTTATCGGTGCGAAAGCGCAGATTAAAGCGCTTAGGGAAGATGAATTGAACGAGAATTTCTTCGAAGCGTTGGCTCATGTTCAGGAAATTCATTCCAATTGCAAGTTACTCCTCAGGACGCATCATCAGGTGATTGATTTTCCCATCTTTTGATTGTCCATTGCGATATGCATATTATTTTTTGGGGCAAAATGGATCTTTTTTCTCCCGTTGTGGTGAGTATTGCCTGTGTGGACCTCGTACGCAGCGTGCAGGTCTGGAGCTCATGGATATGATGGCCGTCTACCAAGAAGGAGCATATGAACGCCTTTGCAGGTAAATTACTGCTATGGTTCAGATCCTATGGAAGGCATGTTTGTGATTTGATTTGTAGTTAATCTACTTGCTGGTGGAACTGTTTGATGTTTGATAGTTTGGATGATTGTTTCATTTCAATCCAGTCGAAGTTGTTTCCTTTTGTGGAAAGAAATCAGTATACACGAGGATGAATCTTTGGTGTTTGTAGAATTTGTTCTTGTTGTGGATGTGTAGGTATCATCTTTAAGGATCAGAGTATTCTATCTGTATGAGCTAGGCTTAAGATATAACCGAAGAAATTACCATTTTTCTAGGTGGGTACAGGCTGAGTGTAGGAATCTGGGTGATACTGATAACGCAGAGGTGAGCGACCTTTTGAAAACCGCTGTTCGCTGTCTTAAGGAAAGACCCGTTCTCTTCAAGTATTGTGCAGAGGAGGTTAGCCCTTTTGACTTCACTCTAGTTTGCATCAAAGTGTTGTGTTATCGATCTTCTTTTTCACCGAGGTCCTTATATTGAGTATCTCAAATAATACAGGTCGGTAATCTGAGGCACAATGCGCTATTTAGAAGGTTTATAAGCGCACTTACACGTGGAGGACCTGGCGGAATGCCACGACCTATTGAAGTTCATGCCCATGATCCCCTGCGATATGTGGGCGATATGCTTGGATGGCTACATCAGGTGTGAGACAATCTTATAGCCATAGATGATCTTCATGCATTGTTTTTTTTCTGATGAGTTGCAATCTTAATCATTTTCTCTGAAGATCGATGCAAATTGAGCTAAAATCGCTGCCATTTTTACTCTGAAAGTTGTAAAAGAGCACAACAAATTTTTTTCCTTAGTTATACGTTTTCTTCTTTTGCTGCAGGCTTTGGCATCTGAAAGAGAACTTGTCCACGCTTTATTTGATGTAGATGCTGCAGATAATAAATCATATGCGAACCAAAGATCCGGCATCTCTGAGAATAATTCTATAAAGACAGCAGAACCCGATTTCACGTTTGTTCTTGACAGAATTTTCGAAGGAGTTTGCCGGCCATTTAAAGTGAGAGTTGAACAAGTTCTGCAATCACAACCAAGTCTCATCATTTCTTACAAACTCACAAACACCCTGGAGTTCTACAGCTATACTGTGAGTTTGAAATCTCTCTCGGTTCTTTTACGTAAGTATCTATGTTTTGCTTCAATGGTATCGACTTCCTTCTTGGCTCGCAGATCTCGGATTTACTTGGGCGAGACACCGCTCTCTGTAATACACTTTGGATGTTGAAGGATGCTGCTCAGAAGACGTTCTTCGATATTCTTAAAACCCGAGGGGAAAAGCTTTTACGATACCCTCCGCCTATTGCTGTTGATCTTTCCCCTCCTCCAGCTGTCCGTGAAGGCGTTTCTTTGACTCTTGAGATAATCGATACTTACAACAGCATGATGGTGCCCGCTTCCGGAAAGAAAACCGATTTTGATCCCGTGCTCTCTGCATTACTTGATCCTATCATCAAGGTATTCCAAAAAAAAATTCATTTTTTCCCGATGAAATCGAAAAATTTAACCTTTACTATAACAGGCTTCCATATGATCTTTGTCTATGAGAAATGTCGATTACATTGTCTCTCATGCCGTCACTGTTCGTGTAAAATTTGATTCGGTAGGCTTGAAAAACAAAATTCCGAATCTTTCTTACTTTTTTTGCAGATGTGTGAGCAAGCAGCAGAAGGGCACAAATCGAGGAGCGGCGGCCATTTATCCCGAAGAAGCAGATCGAGTTTCGACTCGAGCCAACTATCCTCAGTCGACGCCTTACTTACTAGCAGCCATACCTCACCACAGGTTTTTTCCCCGAAACTGGCAAATTTATTTTTCCAGACATGTTTTTCAAGAATCCGAGGCACTAATTTTCTTGCTTCCGTGGATTCATTTGCAGAGTAACGAAACACCCGCGAAAATATTCATCATAAACTGTCTATGCGCAATCCAGCAACCGCTGTTGAGACACGAAGTGGCAACCGGGTACGCAGAAAACATCGGGTCGATGATCGAGAACCACGTGAACATCCTCGTAGAGAAAGAAGTAGACGGTCTCCTCCAGAGATGCGGCCTCTCAGACAAAATGAACATCTTCCGATCTTTGGAAACCGATTCCGCCTTGTCGGGACGGGAAGAAACGTCCCCGACAACTCTATCCGAGTGCCTGAAAACGTTCTTCGGGCTCGTGTTGGGCAGCGAAAGCTCGCTTCCAGAGTTTGAGAAGATGCAGGTTCCGAAACTCAGGTCGGATGCATGTGTCGGGGTGGCTAAGACGTTAGCCGAGGCGTATGAAGTTATATATAGGGCGGTTACGGATCCGAAAAACGGGTATCCGGACCCGAAATCTCTGGCCCGACATCCACCGGATCAGATCCGAACCATTCTAGGAATATAACTGTGAGAACCCTATGGAACACAGTACGTGGAATTAAATCAATTTATCTTTTTTTTGTGGGTTTTCACTTTCCATTAGAGTTCTCCGTTTCGGGTTTCGGCCCTTTCGGGTCGTGTTCTGGTCGATTTTATTCGAATTTGATTATTCCGGTTTTATTTACATTCGGTTTTATATTAGATTCGGTTTAATTCAAATTTTATTGACAAAAGTATTTATTTTTAAAATGAATATTCGGGATTTTTTATTCGGTTCAATTTGGTTCAGATCTTGTAAGTATTGGGAAAATGATCGTAAATCGGATATAACGGTTCTCTGAGTTAGGGCAAAACTACAAATGTTTAAATTTGGATTTGATTTTTTGGATGATTGAATATATATGATATATAATATTATGGTATTCATTTAAAATTATGATTTTTTTTAGAATTATCATATTGTTTTAATTTAAATCTTAAAATTGAGATATTCTAAAACTTTTAAATTGTATATGTATTGTAATATGTGTAATCATATGTTGTCTAATCAAATTTAAGCAAAATGCAGGTTTTAACTTCTATTTAAAATAAAACCCGAAAGGGGAAAAAAATGAAACAAAGATAAGAGTTGCTTTTTATACGAGTCCGTATATATAAAAACAATTGCTTCTTTTTGTTTGTTTTCTGAACAAACGTTTTATTAAAATAATGAAGTTAAATTTATGAAAAAAAGTAAAGGTTTTTTTTTTGTTGGACCCGTTAGAGAGCTTCATGGGCTTCTGATAGGCCTCTAAAATGTGGTCACGTAGGGCTGACGTGGACATTCCAAGGTCTATGGGATGAATCCAACAGTAAAACAAATCTCACTCGCACAAGTAGCGCGTGGATGACACCGCCCCCAAATCTCTGGACTATAGTCCACCGATTTTGGCCATTTCTCGTCAAACCGGAAAAAGTGGCGCGTGGAGAGCTTCTCCTTCGGGGTTTTCTCTGGGGATTTTATTTGCTTTCGGTCCAATTAGTATGCGTCAAATTGATGGGCCTAAGCCCAAATATTATTTGAAAGCCCTTTTTGATAAATTTTAAAAGCCCACGCTGTATTAATATGTACCGTGAATTTATCATATGAATCGGGCGATAATGATCCTCGCTTTCTTCAACCACAAGAAAGAAGGTATATATACGTGGTTAGACCTAGCCAAAATAATCTGAAAATCGGTTACCCGGATGTCCAATTTTAGGGTATTCGCCGTGCTTCAGATCCGAATCCATAAATACCCGCGAATCTGATTTTGAATATGTGTAATAATATTTTTTTTAAATGGATGTATATAGATATCTAATTAATTTTGCTATTAATACCTTCCATCTTTATAACATTTGTATAATTTTAAAATATTTTATCCATCTTTATAATTACACTTTCATTTTTTATATAAATTTTGTTTTTTTTTAATTAAATTAACCGGATATATCCCGCAAATACCAGCATTATTCCGGAACCTCGAATTCCAATACAAATCTTAAATAAGATACTGAATCTTTCATATACAAATATAAAACAAACATACAGATTACATGAAGAAAAACAATACAAGACAAATGTACGGACTGAACAACACATTCTATACAAAAAAAAAAAAGCATAAGTGGTTTTCTTCTGCAATAATTCCACCCACATCCATGGTGTTTTTCATCTTCACCCCTCAGAATGGTGCCGCGAATGATGATGTTGATGATGGTGATGATGCCATCTCGTACGGCAGTACGCAAACTTCATGTGCAATTTAGAATTTAACTAAAGGAACTGAAAGATAAGTCTTGAGTGATTCAGATCACAAAGGAAATTAGAAGAAGCACAAACAGATCTCATGTCTGTAAACCTGCCAAATGTGAGACTTGTTGATTTTTTTTATCCATTTCTGCCCCGAGAACTCAACTCTGTATCATGTTTTCTCAGGATGCAGCCGGGCCATTTTACCAGATGGGAAATTACGAAAAACCTTGAACTTGTCGATCGAATCTTGTTCATACCGTAATATCTCAGAATCACTAGAGTCACTTTCCGAGAGGGTTGGATCGAAAGATGATGATGGTGATGATTCGTATGGTAGGGACTGCAAGAAGCTGAAATAAGCATACTTGATGTCGAACTGCATATCGTACCCTGCAAGATTATATGTGTATGTATAGCTCATCAGAAACAAAAAAATAGCCCAAGAATTCTGAATCTCCAGCCATACACACACACACACATATATATGCAGGAGATGAATGCCCAAGCTCGAAGTTTCTTACAATAGTTCACTGCAATGGTATATCCACCTTCTCCTGGGGTTTGGCTAACATGGTGAAACCACATGCTTGGCCTGCATCATTATTCAGATCAGTTCTGCATCAGAATCATAATTTAGAATCCATTTTTTGCGGTTTTATCATCCATTTCTTAGAAAGAATCGAAATTTAGCTATACTATCTCCCACTGTCACCAGAACTGACAAAAGCAATGATCTTTGTTCTTGATGCTAATGAACAAGAGATTGATGTTCTTACAAGTAGAGAATCTCCCCAGCCTTAACTGTACAATGAAGCGGCTCCGGGCCGTTGAAGTAGATCGGATATTTCGCTCTCTCGGTTCCTTTGTTCTCCGTTGAAGGGTAAGGATCGACACTGCACCAGGGGACCTGCCTCACCGGCTGCTCGATTTCTAGCTTGAAATCTCCAGATTCCTGCAAAAAGATCCAAACTTTGAGTTCACCAATTCAGTAGAACACGTTCAGATTCAAATCAAGGACATGAAATTGAAATCCAGAAATCTCACATACTCTGTTATAGCAGTAATTGGCTGCTGGGTATTGCCGTACGTAGAGGCGGTGAACGTCTGTTGGAGGGAGGAGAAGGAAATGCTTTTCACCTGAGATTACGGCGTAGAGATTCTCGTAGTGGTCTTTGTGAAACGAAGTGACAGAGAGATCAGTGCCTATCCACAGATTCACAGCCTCTGGCGAAGTTCCGAGCGCCGCCGTAGCCCACGTGATGTCTCCTTCGCAGTCGGAAGCCACCGACGAGTACTCCGACCATTTTTCTAGGTGGGTA